CCTTTGATTTCCTTTTGTTGTCTGATGGCTGATGCTAGGACTTCCAGCACTATGTTAAACAACAGTGGTGAGAGTGGACATCCCTGTCGTGTTCCTGATCTCAGGGGGAAAGCTCTCAGTTTTTCCCTGTTGAGGATGATGTCAGCTGAAGGCTTCTCATAGATGGCTTTGATGATGTTTAAGTAGGTTCCTTCTATCCCAACTTTCTCGAGAGATCTGCAGTCACGTTTTAATCAACATGGGTTAACATAGTAAGTTTAGTTGAAATCAGATCAGGCATTGCATCTTCTGGTTATACCAGTCTATGAAGGAATATATAAGAGGGAAAAGGTAATTAAACTATTACACATGCCTTTTTTCCTGGGAAATTACCAGGACCTGCTGTAACTAACCAAGGTCCATTTTTCAGTTCTCTATTTTAAGAAACATTGTTTCTATCTATTTTTTTCTTTCAAATATAAATAGCTTGACATGAATGTTTTTCCTTAAAATAAATAACATACACAAAAGACCGTTCAAGAAAGTGCATTTCAAGATGGCCTTTTGCAGGTACAATGTTAAGATATATATTTTTATGATCTCATAAAAGTCACATAGTATTTGAATTCCAGAGCTTGACCTATCTTAGATTCTGTTTAAATGCTTTAAGCCAAAAGCCATGACCAGAACATATTTAAGAAAACCTAGTTAGAGAAATCATTAGGAGATTAGGAGAAATGATTAGGAGAAATCAGCATGATTATCAGAGGAAGGATTGTGAGATATCCTGATTCAGCCAGACTTCTTTCCAGTACTGGACTCTAGGAGGTCAAGTTTCTGTTGATCTCATGTGACAAACTGCATCATGCTCAGGCACATCCCTTAAAACAACAGGATGGTTTGTGCCGTTTGCTCAGTATTTCCTTTTATTTTACCGTTTAGGCCTTTATTCACCTTTCCTGTCATAGTAGCATCTTGGGTATAATTGTTTCCTTGTGCTTTCCAAATATTTTTCAGATATGTTTTCCCATCTGATAACAACAACTACTACCCTTCTAACTATCTTCATTTCACAAACAAGTAAACAGATATACCGTTTACAGCCAGTGGTAAACCCAGGCCTGGTGTTTTGCATATGTCTCTCCTACTCTATCATATTCCTCGTCACCACATCACTGCATGACAGCTCGCCCCATCCGCTGCCCCTCTCCTAATGCAGTTTCTTTTTATTGCCAATTTGCTTTATATCTGTTTATAGAAGAATCTGTTCCTCCTATAAATGAATAATTACAAAAGATCAGAGTCAGTTTACAGGTAAAAGCATAGCCTCAAGTAAGACATTTAGGAATAAAATGTAAAAGTCACTATCTTGAAGTAATAGTCAATCCACTACCACTTGCAATTACCATTTATTTGCCTTTTCCCTTTGAACTTCTGCCAGCCAAGATTAAGTCTGAACATAGTGGTTTTGAGGGCGGGGGAGTGTGCTGGCTCCTTACTCTAGATTCATCACTTGTCAACAATGGAAAAGTTGCTTAATCTCCCTGTGCATCATTTTCTCTGTCTGTAAAATGGAGAAGGTGATAACAATGGCATGGGTGTCACTGTCTTATTGAGACAATTACATTAGATAATGAATCTAAAGTGCATAACATAGTCCCTCGTATAGTGGAAGCACTATGTAATTGTTAGTTATTGTTTTTGTTGTAAAGCATCCAGGAATGTGGTCATGTCAACTTTGTTCTGGAAGAGGTTTCGATTTCATCTGTAATAATTACCAATGCTTAAATTCTTATTAAAGAAATCTCAGTATGTATCTAGTTTTGTAGCTCTCTGCCCATCTAAGGTAACCCTCATAAATCTATATTTATTGAGTAACTTCTATAGATTCTTACGGCTCCATTGTAGTGGAGTATATCTCAACTGAGCATAACTTTACCACCAGGAGACAGTTGGCAATATCTGGGGGTGTTTCATCACCACTACTGAGACATGCTACTGTTAATCTACTGGGTTAGGGCCAGAGAGGCTCTTAAACATCCTAGCATGCACAGCACAGCCCCCACAATGAAGAGTTATCTAGTGCCAAATGTTAATAGTGCTTTACTGTTGAGACGCCTTGCTCTATTGAAAAAAGGGGGAAGTGTAAGACATCAGCACTGCTAACAGATTAGTTACAAAATGTCTATCAAATAAGACAACTGTGCTGATAATGATGCCTGTTAATACCAAGGTACGATTATGATTAGTTGATCTTGAGAATTGGCTAGATTCATGAGAAGACATATAAATATGAACATAACTGCTTGTTTAGATGAATCGCAATGGCCTTGAAAAATATACCTTAAAGTCCTCTGGTTTACAAGTAAACTTAAACTTGGTTGGTTATGAAATTTTGATTTAAAAATTAAAGACTATATTTCAAAAGAGTCTTTCCACCTGCTTGCCATATTATTTATTTAAGCTACTTATGATGGCTACAAATTGTTTTGGTTTTCTTTGTTTCAATGAAGACTACATATTAAGAAGGCTGGTTTAAGTAATGCAAGTTGATCCTGATATTATAGGCCATTTCAGGTGGATATAATCAAATGGTATTTATTGATTGGTAAAGTATCCTTTTTGTGTATATTGAAATATTCCATTTTTACTGTCACTTCAATTAATGGATGTTTATTTGGAGGTGATAAATAATAACGATCAAGCAATCATTTGTTATGGTTGTCTTCTTGCTCAAGATAAAATAATTCTCTTTTTTACCTGCTGAATACTTTCCGTTGGCAATCTCGAACCTGTGACCTAGAATGGCATTCTGTCTTGGACTTTTCCGATAAATTTTGGTAAAGATAGTTGTGTGTGAGAGAGCACTTGTGTGCATGTGTGTGTGTGTGTGTGTGTGGTGTGTGTGGTGTGTGTGTTTGGGTTTCCACTTAAAGTTCAGTGCCAAAGCTACAGTACTTATACATTTTCTAAATGTGTTTTAAGCAATAAGTTGTACAACATTTTTAGAACATGTGTTAAGCTATTTCTCTAAGAATGAAGCTCTTAACAAAACATAAGCACTCTGCATGAGATCTTAGCAGCAAAGTGCTTAAAAGATAAAGTAAGAATTGGTGCCATGGGAAGAACACCAGCTGTAGAGCGCACAGGTCCATTATGAGAAGTATGGTAGTGGGTAGGGAGAAAATGATTTAATCAGGAGTAAAACCAATTTTATTATAAGGGCACGCAGGGGGTGTGGCACCATAGTGAGAGGGACATTTCAAAATATCTGACAGATTTCAACAATGTGAAAACCCCGTTCTTTAAAGTGACAGTAAACCCCATCAGATCTCCCTTTTTGATGCTATTGTTAACAGTTGACTGTTTAAAGCTGGCCTGCTAAGATGCTGTCGGCCTATTTCAATAGTATGTAGCCAAATAAAAGACTAATTGTTGAAATACAATCAATCAAAAATGATTGCAGGGCAGAAAGAAGGTCTCCTCTGCTGATTTTGTTGTGGATCATATTATTGTGTTATGACTGAGGTAACCATGAAGACTGAAAGAGAAGAAGAAAATAGCCCATCTGAAATAAACAGATCCACCTTCTCTCCTTCTCTTTGCAAACATCCTATTGAACGGGAACATCACTTACCAGCCCTGGAAATAATAGTCCATTTAGAAAAAGAGATCTGATAAAGATTACAGCTAAGATTTTAAAAGGACGTGAACACTATTGGCAAAACAGCCCATGCAGAGATTCCCTACAGTGACAATTCTCAGCTTTTCTCACATTTTTGGTGCAAATTCTCCTCTGCTTCCTAAAACCAACTCCAAGGGGGCATGTGAGCCTGAGCCCAAGACATCAGTAAAGAAACAAAAGTCCAGTTGACCAATACCTGTTACGTTCTGGCCAGGAGACTAGGCTTTTTAGTTAACCCTGGGCTGTTAAAGATTATTAGTTTTAGTTTTTATTCTGCTTAGAATTCAAAATCCCTTTGATGTTGAGTGTTCACAAAGACAAATACTAATGATCAGCAGCAGTACTTGTGTGTCTTGCTTCCTTCCAGTTGTATGTTAAGATGTTGCTTTCAGACCCTGCTATATCCACTTCTTGGGTGAGAATGATTCCAGACTTTCATTCTGAGGGTGAACAAGAAGAAAATAATTGTCCAGTGTCTCTTTATTTCTTCTAAAAACTTCATTTTGGCAGTTATCTCCTTTAATATTTAAATGTCTCAACTCACTCAAGCTTCCCAAGCAAACATTTCTCGTTTGTAGGCGGAGTGGGTAAGCACTTGTGGTTTGTTTTTAGTGTGTTATCATTTTTGACAGCTTTGCATAGCCTCCGTAGGCCAACAGGGGTCTGTCTAATATTGTTGCTGGGCACATTTTCCTCGCTGAGATGAAAACTAAAAAAAAAAAAAAAAAAAAAAAAAAAGGTATTTTTGAGGCAGTAAGAAGGAATTAATATCCTTTCTCACTCAGTATTCTATTCCTTGCTGACTTTATACTCAGCAAAAAAGGGAAAAAAGTGTTACCCATTATTCCCTTGTACATAGCAAGGCTAACACATGTAACGCAATAACTCATTTTCTATTGCGGTGTTTAGCATATGTCTCCTGTTGGCTCAGCAAGGCCTTTAGGCCGGTCCCTTGAGCCGGCCATCATTGGCAACTCTTAGCCCCTCGGCCTCAAAACCAAATAGCTTTGAATCATGTTGAGCTGTGATGCTAATTTTCAGACTGATGCATTATGGGAATAAATGTATCTGACATACTGTGTCAATGGCACTGTCTCTTTGTGTCTCTTGTTTTTTTTGTTAGCTGCATTCCTACAGATGGTATTCCATTGAAAATGTTCCCTTCCTACGGAAAAAGGGAAAAAAAAAAAAAAAAACCACGCACAGCACCAAACCTCTAGGTGCAGAAGGCTGTTAACGGTTGCTGATGATAGTAGGCAAACATTAACATAATAATTAGTGTCTTGTAATTGTTTCATTAAAACCAGTTGTTCCATTTCTCCTCGTGTTTTCCCAGAAGAGAAGCTGAATTTGGACGACAGCCAGTGGGAGGACATCCACGTTGTCACCGGAGCACTGAAGATGTTTTTCCGGGAGCTGCCTGAGCCGCTCTTCCCTTACAGCTTCTTTGAGCGCTTTGTGGAAGCAATCAGTAAGTAACCTCATAGACAGGAGCGCTTGGTGGACTAACCTGGCAGCGTGTAATTATTAAGTGAACAGTAAGAATGACAATATCCCTAGTGCTCCACATGGTTCGTTTTATTTTAGTTTTGTGTTTTTGATGCCTTAGTTTTATTTCTGGCCCTGCAATATTCTCTGAGGTGTTTCTGGATTTTTGTTTTTGTTTTTGTTTGGTGTGGTTGCTTTTTAGTAAATAGGGTAGCCTACTTAGACTGGCCAGTTTTCAAATAAACCACCTCAAATGAAAATAGTTTCACACGGAATCGGTTTTAGAGGGATCACCTCTGGTACTCCCAGCCTCTACCTTCAGAGTTTCAGACTTGGCAATGAGTTTGTGTAGAAAAGTGTCATGAAAAAGAACTTAAGTGACTTTCATTACATTTCATTAAAGAGGTGTTATATCATCAACTGGGGCATCATCTTCCCAAGGTTCCCTCACCCTTTACCCGGCAATACTAGTAAGTACTCAGCTACAGTTTGCTTATGAGCAGCATAAGATTAAATTATGTAATGGCAGGTTTCTTCTGTTAAACTGGTGGCTTTGTAGGAGGTTGAATTATATCAACTACGAACCAAAAGTCATTGTACATTCCTTGAAGCTTCCTTTTCTATTGTTTTTGCATTTGTAACACACACACTTAAGTATAAGAGAGTAAATGAATGAGTGAAGGAATGAATGAATGAGTAAAAATCTTTCCAAAGGCAAGGAAACTTTGGCTATTGATGCTTGCAGAAGCAACTACTGGTACATCTAAATTTAATATCTTAGGGTTCACTTATTCTATTTGTGACAGCTTGGAAAAAGTTTCCTGGTTAGTAAGCTGATTCAAGGAGGAGAAAGAAAGAAAGACAGAAGAAAGAAAGGTAAAATTAAAAAGCTTGCAAGCCTGGCAGGAGCTTAATTAAAGTCCAAGAGAAAAATCTCCAAGAAAAATATGCCCTGCTTAGGAGGTATTGGATGGCTGTGTGCACAGCATTTCCATTAGTGGGAGTGGGGACCTGCGGGGGCCCACGTTGGAGAACAGCCCCTCAATATGCCCTTTTATTCTGTTTCCCACTTCACAAGTCTTCATACTTGTTTAAAGCTCTGGAACAATGATATCAAGAAGAATACAACTGAATGTATTTCTCCAACAACTTTCTCTTGTTGTCTGCTCTTTGTTGTTATTGCTGCTGTCATTGAACACAGGGGCAGTACCCTAACTATGGGGCTGAGGTGAGGCTGTAGCTCTTATCCCCTGTCATGACTTTTTATTTCATGAACTTTTGCTTCTCAAGAACAGTATTTAATGGTTCCCAGGTTCAACTTCTTTTTAAAAGGAGGAATAAAAAAAAAAAAAAAAACTAAATAAGCATACATCTCCATAACAGCTTATTCTGATACACTAGCTTAGAACATGGCAAGCATGAAAGATTAGTATTAACACAATATTAGCACGGTGTCCTGAAAGGAAATTGGGGAACTTGCATTGGGGTACCTCTTTCTGGTTATATGTATTTAAGAAAGTCATACAAATTTCAATCATGGTCTCCAGACTTCTAGGTGAGGATTATGTTATTTGTAGGCATATTTGCACACATGCTGAGCTGAGGGCTGTGACATAGATACCCATCATTTAAGCTTCCTTTAGTTCACCTGATTCTAAAGACACAAGGCAAGCCATTCCCCTAGCTTAAGAGATAGGGGAAGCAGGCCCTTAGAACCCAGGTGAGGGCATGTCCCTTGAATTTCCACAAAGAGTAAGACCATCTCTCTGCTATCCTGGACTCTACACCCACTTGACAAAATTTCAGAAACACTGGCATAGTCAGAACAGAACAAGGCAGTGTTGAAGTTGCCTCTGGCTGTTGTGACTGGTGGCTATTGCAAGGATTTTTGCCAACACCTATAAAATGGATTATACCAAGAATGAAAGAGATAGTGCTTAAGAAAATCCTTAAAAATGTTAAGTCTTATACAAATGCTGACAGTGTTTCTTCAGTTGAGCTTTGCCTGAGAGTATAATATAAAAACAAGGAAGTAGTTTTTCTTTCACTTGATCTTACTATGGAGGTAGTTTTTCTTTCATTGTTTCAGGCAAGGAGAATCAACCAACCTCAGCCACCTTGTTTTGCGTAACTCTAAATAGTACTTATTATTTCTTACTGGGTAAAATGGAAGGACTAAGCAACAGGGTAGCATGGTGGAGAACTATGTAGCAATGCTAGGCAGAGACAAGCTTACTAAGCCATGTGATGTGTTTTTGGCATAATCTTGAAGTCAGTTCTGGTGTTCTAAACTCAGCTTAACTCAGCTCTCCTTGGTAGTTCATATTTAAATATCCTTAAGCAATGGGATAATGGCCACCTACTCTTTGGCAATGGTAAACCTACACCAGATAGGTATTTTTACCCCACTGCATTCCAGTTGAGTTTTAAAAAAAATCTTTCAAAACTATAAAGACTCATATCCAGTCCCAGAGGGGTGATGGGTTTTATCATAGGCCTCACTGCCTCCTGTAAACTCTATATACTGAGGAGCTCAGTAGACCTGCCTTCAAGCTCTTGACCTTTTAATGAAAAGGAACCAACCAGGTAAAAGAAATTCACGGGAAAGTTGTCCATATATTCTGGCTCTGGAGCTCTTTGGCCCTCAGATCTTTGCCTCTCACTTTGTTCGAGGCAAAAGTGTAATGTAATGTACACTTCTGTAATGTAGGAGGGTTGACCCCAGCCAGCCACATTTCACAGGGGCTCTTGAGGGCTGGCTTTCTGCTGATGTAGCCAGTGTAAGCCCTGACATCAGATAGCAGAGGGAGAGGGAAGGATATGGCCAGCCAGTGTGTTTATTTATCCTCCACCCCTTCTCCCTTGCCCACGCACCTGCCTCAGATAGTTTCTTTACCTGAAGGTCCATCTTTTCCAAGGCTTCAGCTTTGACTGGAGAGGTCCACTATGGTTCGAGCTTCCATCTTGCAGTGCAAATCTTTCTATCTTTTTCCTATTCAGCTTGGCAGTGGCTTCCTGCAGCAGCTAGTTTCTTGATTACTTCTCTTTCCTTATTTGGCTCTCAACTTCCTCATCATATGGGTAACCAGTTCCCTGCATCGAATTAATTCCCTCTATTTGTGTAAATACTTGAAGTGGTTTCTGCTCTTTGGTTAGACACTAGCAAAACACCATGCCAGTCAATGTCACGGTTCATGTAGCTATAACATTATTTCCCTTTTCTCTTTCACTAACCCCAATCCTAGTTTGTGAAGGCTTAACATTTTTATTTGGGAGAGATTGGGAGATCTGTTATCCTTTCATGACAGACTTAAAAAGTGAACAGACCAAAAGGAACTATACTTCCAACTGGAATTCTTCGCCCTCTGAGGAGGAAATATTATTTCATGTACAGGCAATTAATGGCCACTTGTGCTATTTGAATTGCTGTTAATTCTCATTATATGTTTGAAAGCCACCATTACATATTCTGAGAAAAAAAGAAGAAAAGGCATTTACGTTTTTAAATAGTTTCTTTTTGGACCAAGCACAAACATTAATATGATAAGAACCTGTAATTGCCGTAGTGATCCCCTGTCTGATAACACTCATTGGGGTAACAAAAACACCAGAGATTGTCTTATATTTCAGAATCCAAGTACTGCAGCCATTGATCTGAAATTCTATATTTGAGATCAGTGCAACTGGGTCACCTGCAGGTTATTTCGTAGGGATTTAACCCACTGACTGCAAGGACTTAATTCCCTGGAAATGACTTGTGCTAAAAGCAGTATTAGAGCTGTGAATGTGAACTCGGGACAAAAACACAGCTATAGAGTTTTATGATTGGTGATGCAATCTTGTGACTAAAGTCCTACAGGAGTCTGGATATTTGTAGTACATCTAAATCCTAGAAAAGGTCCAAAGCTTACCTATGTTTCTATCTTTTTCATTCTGGTAACTCTACACAACCAAAGAATAGAAACAAGCAGTCGTTCCTGATTTAACATCTGCATTTTTTCAAAGTCCTTGGGATAGGAAAAGAGAGGAGAAAAAACTTGTTGGTATTTTCTACAATTATCTCATTTAATCCTCAAAATAACAAAGCAGGAGTTTCTGGAGAAGTAGAAAGATCATGTGGCAAAATAATTTCTGGTTCATAAAGTTACTATAAGAATTAACTAGGATAATATTTTCCTTACTCTATATTAGGTACTCAATAAATGATTTCAAATACATAAATTTTTCAGAAGAATAAAGCAAGTCATAAAATAGTTTTCCAGTTAACGTGGCTCAAAAAATTAGACTGAGCATTCAACTCCAGATTCTAAAGCATAAATACTTTCCACCATCATATATTGCCTGTGGGAGACTATTTAGAAGAAGTCTTACTAGAAGGATAACTAACTAGCTGTTGCCAAATGTCTGTCTCTTATGTCCTCCTGTGTAAGACCTATATATTCTACATAAGACCACAACCGATATTTTCTTTCTTTTTCAAAACCAAAGGTTAGATTAAATTTAATGACCAGAAATTTTGATATTGGAGTTTTAAGTGAGAAATAAGGTAGAATGTTCCAAGGATGAGCAATGTTTCAGCATTTACCACTCAACATTAAAGCATCCATGCTTTAAAGCTATCCTCTCTGAATACATTTTAACCCTTTACTCTAGGAATTTTATGACCAGTTGCTCACCCATTCCCTTTTGAATTTTATTTAGTGATACACAATGGTATTTTCCTCTTCTGTATGAGTAACTACTTCAAGCTTAAATTTTATTAGTATTCTTTTTTGCAGTTTTTCACTTGTATCAAATTACAACCTGCAACAAGATAGGACTGCTTCAGGGTGCTCCGCGAGTTCTGCTTTCTGAGTTAGAGCCACTGTCTTCCAGAGAACATGTGTATTCATTTCCTACTACCATAACTATTATCCAAACTCAGTGGCCTAAAGTAACAGTGACTTACTATCTTATAGTTTTGTAGAACAGAAGTCTGACCCT